CACTTATTCTGTGGAAAGTGTGGTTATGCTGCTGAGAGTGGTGTCTGATTTCAATCTTGCACAAAACACATCTGCCTTATCAACAGGAACGCACGTGAAGAGCAATGTAACATCAAAAGAGACCATAGTTTCATCCGCCTCCATGATGACATCCCTCACCTTGTCCGCAAAGTCCATAGTTTTACCTCAATGTTTTTTAATTTAGTTTCATCAATATTATGGTCTTCAAACTTCTCTTGAGGGACTGCAGGAGAAAACATGCCAGTAGTCAAAACATCTAGTGGAAAGATATATTTTTTAGATGGATTAAGTAAAAGTTATGGGTTTTGGAGTTTGATGTTCTGTCAAATGGTGAATAATAATTAATACTGATTACCAAATGTGTTTATAGCTGAGAAGCTTTAAAATTAGTAAGTGTTTGCCCTGGTGGTCTTGTTTGTCTGACGTTTGTTGGATAAGGCAGAGACCCTTTAACCTGACAACTAAAGTCAGCTTTCCTCTGGGTCAGTTTTTACTAGAACACAAACACACCTATAAGTCTGGAGCTGCAGCACAGCTTTAAATATCGTATTGTCAAAAGTTCGACTGCAGCCAGTTCGCCTGCAGCCCTCAGTTGCTASTGTTGTTTAGAAAACACAAAATTTTTCCATAAAACACGAAAGGGCACTGAATCCCAAAATACTACCTGCAGCAACAGGAGTGTTCAAACATGGGATTAACAGATTATTTTGTTAGTTTTTAAGTTTATGTGTCAGGACATGATTAAATGGCTTATGTCCCAACATTTGATTTTCATGCTAGTTTAGATTAAAAAAGACAATGTAGGTGTGTAATCAACAAGAAAAAAATCAGTATGTCCTCGTTTTGATTTATGTTATGCTTCAGTCTCACGTTTTTCTCTTTCATACAGACTGAAAATAAGAAACCCACACTGATGAGGCGTACCTAAAAATGTTTATTAGTTTAAAAAGTGTTTTAAAAAATGTAACAACAAGCACTTCCCCTTAGAAAAGCAACAGCTAAAATGCAAAAAATTTGTAAAAAGCCATGGCAAAAATAATTTAAAGTGGAGAGAAGCTCTGCTGCTTTGAACCACTTACAAGAGGAAGGGTAAAAATCTTCATTTAACAAATATTAGTGCTAACAAACACAGACACACAGTGGAGTTAAATATCCAAACAGAACAGAAAATAAACAAGTAAAGCTGGTTTAACTTTCTACAGTCATTTTCAGTCAAAACAGTTTTTTGCTACAATTAAAACTTTAACTTTTTGCTGTTAATTTGTCATATTTTGCATACTGCATTTGTAATGTATCCAGACATTAATCTTAAAGCATATTTTAGTGCCTTTTTATATTTTAAAACAAGAGCAACACCCAGTTCTTAGTCCTAAGATCTCAATATTTACTACATCAAATGATAAAATTGTGTGAAAAACAAAAAATATAACAAACATATTGTGAGGTGGTAGTATGCTATGATACCAAGAGGATACAGTGCAGGTCAGACAACTGCAACTACACGAGGTTATTAAAGGTCACAAATGACACACTGTAAATGAGCAGAAAAACAAACCAAAGTACTGAAAACTGACCACACTACTAGTCTGTACAGAGTTCAGCCAGAAAACAAAACAAAGGAACAGTCTATCAGTAAGTTACAGTGGTTTTTACCTATAAATACATTTGATAACATTTTCCCGACAGAGTTTTAGAGACAAACGTCTTTCCACTGCTGTAAATTTTCCTCATCACCTCTTCTTGTCAGACAAAGTGTTGGTACGTGTCTCACAGCTGCTATCAAACACCCTCAGTTTGCACATCACAGTAAGAGGAGGTTCAGTTACATCATCCATCATGTAGTGCATGTTGCCTTGGGTCAGATCTTTGGCATGGATGAAAGGCTCAGAAACCAGAAGCATCTTTGACTCAGTGGAGGGGCAGCAGGTTTTGTTCACGTGCTGCACTGCATCCGTGTAAAAACTTCACATTAACGCAACGACTGCTCCATAAGAACAGCCTCACAGTGTTAACCTCAACGGATTGTCAGTGCCGTACAACAGGCATTAAAGATTATCTTGCAAATAAATAAATAAAAAAACAACTCTCTTTTTAAACAGTTTCTTGGACCGCTCATTTCCTTCTCTATTCAGACTTCATTTAGTGTTGGATTGCAGTGTAAAGCGTCTCTTTGAAATCCCAATGTTGGGGCAGTAGTGCCCAATCCTGGTACCTGAGGGCCATCATCCTGCACGTTTTAGTTGTTTCTCCAATTCCAACTATTTGACTTCACGTATGAGCTTATTCTTTTATTAAACAACAGTCTCACATTAGCTGCATCATTTGGGGTTAAATAGCTTGTTCCCTGCAGGTGAAACATAATATTCATGGCAGAGGAAGACTCTTCATCTTTTTGCTTTGGTAAACTGAGGTGGTGACTTTGTTTTTGACCGGGCAGTGCAAGTTTATATTTGAGTGCAGTCATTTAAAATCACAGAAAGTTGCACAAAAATGCATGAAAGGAATAATGGCTTTTTTCTATTTTAAAGTTTTCTGTTCATAAGTGCAAGATTTCCCCTTTTAGAGGCTTCAGTAAATAAATGGTTTTATTTTAAACTTTCTTTTTTTAAATTGCAGTGTAGACGATGGCTGCTCACAACATAAAAACCTCAAATCCGAACAGTGGTCATTGTGACATAACCACCATATAAATCCTTAAAGCTATTTTAGGGGATTGCTGCTAGACAGAGGTCGCTTTTCTTTACTTTATATCTCATTAAGTTTTGTTTTAATCAAATAACTTTGCATAAAACAAGTAGTTTTAAGGGACTTTTCATTTGCCTAAGTAAAAAAGCACAAATGTGAACAGAGGCCGAATTTATTATTGCCGTAACTGGGTAATAAATATTTTCTTTTATTGTAAAAACGCTCAAACTACTTAAATATTAGCTTTGGAAATAACTGTTGAGGCATATATTTTACTTTAGTTTGTAGTTCCTGAAAGTTTATTTTTTTTATCCTGTGTAATTTGAATATATTCAATTAAAGCGAAAACTGATCAAAGAAACAGCCAGGAATAAATAAATAGAATGTAATCAAATGTATTACTATATTGTAATCAGATTATAATAAATAGATTTATATTGATGATTTTGGTTCTCTGTTTTTTTCACTAAACAGTGAATCAATAAATTGTATATTTTTACACAACCTAATGTTAGTTTTTGTTAATATCCTAAGATAATTTACWAACTCTACCTGACACATGACTCTGTTATATTATTAGTCCAGCATTTATTATAGTTTTGTTTATATTAAGCCTAAATTATGCACTGATTGCAGTTGCCAAGCTTTACACCACAATACCGTTATTTTTTTGTTATTAGATTTTCTTTTTTTTTTTGTCTGCTTGTTTTTAATGCTTGATGAAACAACATGAGGTGTTTTTACTTTCATTAAAGAGTAATGACCGGCATTTTACTCAAGTGTTGCAGCATGATGTCAGTTCATTCAGCCTGGCACTTTAAACTGGACAAAACATACCGAGTCCAGTGTTGCTATTTACAGTTCAAATGAATGAAAATAAATAAAACACACAACTACCACAGATTAACATGTTCAACATGACAGGGAAAACAAAAACAAAGAAATGTCATCAGCCCATCAGCCCCACAGCYGGATGGTCTTTGCTTTCCAACCATTCGAGTCCACCTGAATGTGGTGTCTCRCTCATTTGCTGAAACAGGTCCTCCGCAGCGGCGTTTTCATACCTGTTTTGCTGCTGGTTAGGGTCAAACAGCAGGTTTGTGTTCAGCGCGTTCAGGTCATTGATACTGCCGGAAAGCTCTGATGTCAATCTGATTTCACAGGGGAAATCTGGTCCTCCTGCCGTCAGCTCAGATACCTGATCCAGGAGCTGTGGGGCAGTGAKGCCGCCATCTGTCAGGAGGTGCTGCACGCTGCCGAAATCTAGCTGCTGCTGGTGCTGTAGCTCTTCCTGCTGCGATCTCAAAGCTAACATTAGCTCTCCAGAGGCTGGCTGGGTTTGGTTGTTCCCTGCTGAAAGAACCATTTCTCCATTCATAGAACTTTCTAAAAGGTAATTTGGCCTCTGTGAGACACAGCTGCTGGTGGAGTTAACATTCATCAAGTTCAGCTGGTTATCAGTGCAGGAGCTGTTGGACTTGGACTCCAGGATTTGGGTGAGGTTCATCCGTGCCGTGTAGGTGGAGGGTAAATTATGAACGCCTAAACCTCGCATCGAGTCACAGCTGTCCCCTTCCAGCTTGTTGAGAAGGACACTGGTGACGTTTTTGCTGGTGCACGGTTGGTTCGGTGCGGGCAGGACCTCAGATTGCATCATGATGCTGAGCGGCACCGAGCGGCTCCTCTGGGCCAAGCTGCTGGTGCCCAGATTTGGCTTGCTATTAGAAAAGATGTTTAACATTTCAGGCGTTACTGGAGAACTGAACGGGGACACCACGGAGTGCGGGACGTTGGGGAGAGCGTTGTTCCCACCCAGATTCCTCTGATGCACCGCTGGACTCACGCTGCGGCATCGGAACGTTGCAGCGGACGTGTTGGAGGTTTTGTTATCCAGGGGAGCCGGCACAGCGAAACCCTCCTGCTTGTTGGACATGCCGGCTACCTGCTGCTGCACGGGGGAGATGGGAGTCAAGCGGCCACAGTGGCCGTCGTGGTGGCGTGCATGAGGAACGGCAAAGGCATGAGGCTTCTGAAAATGCTCGTCTATCAGACCTCGACAGCCTGTAAGGATCCCCACTCCACTGTTTGACTTGTTTATAGTCCCACTGCTGCCGCCGCTGCTGTAGCTGTTACTCATCCACTCCAGCCTTGCCTTGTCTGGGTGGGTGGCCATCGGCCTCTGCATGGGTTTGACGGGGCTGCTGGAGACGGGGCTGCTGTCCTGGAAACAGGTCGTGCTGGAGTTGATGGGCGTGAACGCAAAGGGGTTCCTGCACTCCACCGGACTCGGAGGAACAGTGCTGCTGCAGTTGGAGTGCGGAGTCCCCGCCGGAGTGTATCGGCTGCTTCCCAAAGCGCTGTCCACCGGGGTCGTGGAGGCCATGTGGGAGCAGGGGCTCTCTCTGGTGAAGTTCTGCGGTCCCCCCATCATCTCTGACGTGGGTGTGGGAGTTTGGATCAGGTGGCTGCTGTTGTGTGCAGCATGATAGAAAGCAGCTGTGGCCTGATTGGCGGACGTTAGGTTGTCTGACATTAAAACATGCTGGTCTTGAAGGGTGCCACAGTTTCCAAACTGCTGGAGCTGTTTCAGCTTCATCTGCTCCTCCATCTGAACCAGCTCCTCCACAATGCTATCCTGAGTCACGTCGTCATCGAAGGAAAAATAGTCCATGTGTTTCTCAGCAAGCTGACTGGATGACGCTTGGTTTAGAAACTGAAGGGCGTCATTAGCGGGATCGGACTGGACGTACGTCTGGTGCTGAGGTCCTTTCAGGTTTCCTGGGATTGAATTCGAACCCGTGTGTTTCTGAAAACCAGGGTTAGCGGCATACATATTACCCACCGTGTGCTCCGGCTGTTTTTGTAACGTGCCACTGACTGATGAGCCAATTTCCATAACATTGGAAGTGTTGCTCCTCGGCAATGAGATGTGTGWTTTGGCAACAGAATTAAAGCAGTTAGCTCTGACAGAGGAAGTGCTTTGTGTGTTAACTTGAGTGGACAAGACGGAGCTCATTTTCATCTCTACATCCTGAGTGACTGGTGCACTTTCAGGTCTACCTGTTGTACCTGGGCTGGAGATATAATCAGCCATACTTTTGATGTTGTATCCAGGAGTGCCATCTGCTGGTTGCTGTGGCATAAAAACCCTTTTAACTGGGGAAAAGTCTGGACTGAGACCTGAGCGTTTTCTGAAGCTCTTTGTTGGTAAGAAACCCTCCTCTGCTTGGAGGCCGTCTAAGGACGACAGTCTGCTGGTGTTTACTGAAGTAACAGTGCTGGTGTTCTGAGAGGGAGAAGATAAGTGCAAAGTGCTTGTTTTATTTGAGCTCTGACCCACAGTATTCGTGCCCGATGAAGACTTTCCACTGCAGCTAATGTTGGATGTTTCCTCCACACCAAGGAAGCCTTTAGTTTGAGGTATGGGCACACTGGCAGCTCTCTGTACAGCACCTCCAGCCCTGTTTGACCCTTGGGTAAAAACTTGACCGCTAGAACTTTGCATTTGGCTGTTCTCGTGTATAGCTTCAACTTCCATTTCAACATCAATGCTCTGAGGGTCGGCGATTGGCCCAGGCTCGGGCAGCGGGGCCAGAATGGGCGAAGCAGAAGTGATGCCTGCAGTTGCGGGCCGCAACGTGGCGTTTGTGAGGGATGTGGTTTCCCTGCCAGTAGGAGCCAGCGATATCGCTGCCATCTTGACCAAACTGACCGGGCTAACATGACATGTAGTCATCACGGTCTTAATGGGGCTGTTGGTGATTATCATGGTGGAGGGTGAGCGCAGGGTGATACCCGAGGTGATGGAAGGTTTGGGTAGGATCTGAGTGTAGCGCTGCCGAGCTGTGCGCTCACCCACCGGACTGGTTAGAATCGTTTGGACTGGTTTGGGGCCCTGTTTCACCGCCTGGATGGGCTGTGACACCATTTGGAAGTTAATAGGCAGCATTTTGCTCTCCACTGTTCCCACAGGACTCGGTGACATCAGCTGCCTGTTCTTCTGCACCTGCAGAGGAAAAGATCAGTCACAACAATGAAAACTGACAATTTCAAATACCACAAAGTTTTTGACATTTTTGGATTTTTGATTATTGCTTCATCCCTAATCATTACTATACATATACCGACTGACGCTGTAAACAACTATGTATTTTCTTCTGTGATGTACAGTGAGAGTGGCGTTTTCTCACCGTGATGGGACTCGGGACAGCTGTAACCACGATGCCAATAGTTGGCTGTGGTGAGGGAGTGGTGGGGCTGCTGCAAGGCACACTGTCATCTACCCTCTTAGTCTGTCCATCTCCAGGTAGAGGAGACTGAAGCTTTTGCTCCTGTTGCTTCCTATAAATCTTCCTCTGCAGCTGCTGCTTCGCATCCACAGACGGTGATGAAAACATCGTCACCTGAGGCTGAAAGGGATGAGCCTCCGATGTGGGAATGAAGGCTGAAATGGTCTGAGGTGGTTTGACCTCTGGAGAAAATAAAAGACAAACTATAAAATATCACTATGAAATAATACAATTTGTACTCCTTTTGAGATGGCAGGTTTAGATTATATGTGTGACTCAATACAACAAAATCCAACATGCTAAAGAGGCTCATTGATACAATTTTGTATTTCGGATGGCAAAAATATTTCAATATGTCAAACAAAACAACAAAGAATGGCTGGAAAAAAAAGTTTTCAGACATTTTTCTGTTTTGTAGTAGACCAATGTTTGGAAATTTCCACAACTGATTCAAATTGAAACCCAGAAGTTCTAGAGTTAAATGTAGATCCAGGCAGCGGCCACCAGGCGTCGCCACCATCCTGGTCCAGGCAGTTTAACTTTTCCTACCTGTTGCTGTGCCGGTCATCACGGTGAGAGCTGCCAGCGACTTGTTGCTGATGTAATGGCTGTCGACTAGGAAGCGAGCCAAGTCTTCGACAGCGTCAAACTGGCGCTTCAGCACCTTCTGGGCCCATTCGCACACAAGATCACAGGCTGCGAATCGCACTTCCTCTTTGATGCTGCTCAGCTGGCAGGGTGAGTCCAGCACGTCACAGTGGAGCTGCACACAGCAGATACGGTTAAATCAACAGAGAGAGTTTACTGACATGGCGATGAGAAACATGTTAATATGCTTACCCCATCTGGTGTTTTATGGAGATCCAGGGTGGGCAGAGACGGCATATGAACATAAGGTCTCTTTCTAAGTCCGCTGTAGCAATACGTGAGTCAGCGTTAAGACCAAAAATAAACAAAGTGATTACATTTAAAAGCAAAAATAGATAGAATTCTGTAATCCAGTTAAGCTGATGCTGCAAGATGATAAACCAATGTTTAATTTTTAATCATCATCAAATTACTATGACAATCTGACAAAATTAAAACTAATTCTAAGGTGAACCATTTCATAAAACAATCTAACCTGAATAAACTGTAGCTCCTAATCAAAACATCTTGTTGAAATGTTGTTTTCATTAAACATAGTCTTCTTTAAGAGCATAAACGGTTAATTCTTGCTTCTGAATTTTATCTTTGTTTAATTCAAATTCAAAAATTCTTTATTGATCCTAGAGGGAAATTAGATACTGATTAAGTAATTAAATTGATTATAGTTGATTAAACCAGGTTTAGTAAATTCAGAGACACTACTCGATGCTTAAAAGTCAGATTACTCTCAAAATGTATTTTTGTTGTGTTCATTAAAGGTTTGTTTTTAGTTTTGTGAGTTTGTTTGTGTTCCACTTTCCTGCTCATTATTCCAGAAAGAACTAAAACCCTACTTCTCCAAACTGTGGTCAATCTGCTACAGGTAAGATATTTATTGTTCATAAGCTTTCCTAAGAACCCCCGCCCACCCCAACAGGAAATATCTGAACAGTCCCTGTCCAGTTTATGAAGGTCAAGAACGCACACCAGTGTTTGCAMTTTGACGTCACAAACTGAAGGTCAAGATCAGAGAGACTCCCCCCGAGGGTCTCTGCATTATGCCTGTGCCTTTGAGGTGCAGGGGTTGGGTGTGGGGGGCTTCATTTCATTTCACATCTATATTTAGAGAGCAAATGAACTGCTGCAGCAGATGGTCTGAGACCAACCACACACACAGGCCAGACAGATACAGTCTTTTCCAGTAAAGGATATTTGGATTTTCCTCTCATGCCAAGCCGGCGAGCCTTCATGTTCGGGAAGACGTTTTTCATCATCTTTCCAAAGTCTGCGGCGCTGAGCGAGTGGTAGTTCAGATTGTCACAGAAGCTCCTGAAACAAACGTCAGTGAAACAGCATCACACACACAGTCCTGATTATCTCTCTTCACTGAGAGTCTTCATGTCTTGTCAAAGTTTGGGTTCACCTCTCGCCCCGTTTATTCAGGATCTCCACAATAAAAACACAAACACTGGGTGTCAGGGATGCTTTCTTACACATAAAAYGGAACAAAAACAAGTTAAAAGAAAACTTGCAGCATTTAATTAACATTTAACGTCAACTCGATTCAAGATGGCCGCCACAGACAAATGAAATTTACAACACAAAAAGATCTGAAACTTCTTCAAATTTACAGACACGGAGCTGAAATTTAACTTGGTAGTAGCTGAGAGTTATTTCACAAGATCGCCAGAGATTGCTCTATGTTTAAGGTTTGGGCAAAGTGGCTGTAATGTATCTTAATAGAAGATGACCTCGGTCTGAAACTTTTAGCATGAAAAGAAGCTGTCAATATACATTCCTTTAAGAAATGGTAGACCAAAATAAAATAACGCAATGTGAAACTTGTGAGGTACAAACTTTCTAAAATGGACCTAATTCTTTTACATTTAGGAACAAACTCCTGAAAGGAAGTAAACAACGCTGTGAAAGACTTTTCTGTGACCCGACCAGAAGGCGCCAGCGTTTCTACGTGGCGAGGTATTTCTGTTCTCGTAAGGTTAAAAAAGATGAAAAAAGTTACATAAGACCGTCAGAACGTTTCAATGAGTGTCTCAGATTTTCCATTCTAATATTACCAGCACATGCTGCTCTCTGATTCTCATGCCTGCTGCATCTATTTATACTGACACTTTAGCCTGCAGTAATGTGGAGCAGGACGAGGCACGAACACCATTACCCGTTGTCTTTTACAGAAAATGTAACTGTGTTACACTAACAGATGAAACCTCTGATTTAGTTTGTGTGGTTTAAAAAATACCCGAGCTTGAACCCAAAAAAAAAACCTCTTTGTTTGTACGTACTTGTATTCATCATAAACTTCCTGCTTGGGAAGAGAGGTCTCCGGGTATTCCTCTAAATGATCCCGGATCCAGTTGAACGCATGCATCTGCTGCGTGCGGCTCGATGAYAGGGCGCTCTGCTCACTGAGAAAAAGATCTGGGTCACAGACTGACAAGATACAAAGGGTACCTGACTGATTCATCAAAACCATCACCACTCATCCATTCACATTCACAATCCCAACATCCTGAGAGGAACAATCACATTTTAGTCAATGAAATAAAAGTATTTGTAGTAAACTGAGCTCTAATTTAAATACAGTTACAGATCAGACATGTTTCATATATTTTATTAGGGTCTAAAAGGATTTTATTGTGTAAAATTAGAAAAATCCACAAAAGACATTAAGTCTTCAATGGGCTTGTGCATTAAAGATAAACAAACAATCGCAGAATTATAAACAACATATATGAATATTTATCTACAGCTTGCCTGTTTCTAGTGTTTGAGTTGAGATTTGTAATGATAGTTCACATTTACTTAAAAAAACAGAAAAGTATTTTTTTACCTTTTCTCTGCTGTGTTGCTCGGACCAGAAGGCAGCTTGAGGTAGAGATAAAGCTTTTCGATGTCTGAGAACTTCTCCACATCTTGCTGTGGACATGAAAAAGACAAAAAGGAAAACAGACAGCTGTAATTTATTTTTATTGCTCACAAACAGAAAAAAGACATTTTCTGCCTGGAAATAAAAAAAATTCTACTCTAAAAATGTTGGGATGTTGTTAAACTGCAAAGAACAGAGTGTGATGATTCACAAATCTCAAAACCCACATTTTATTTGCAGTTGAACACGGTAAACGTATTGAGTATATTGAATTTTTCTTAAAACAAAAAGAAGATAAAGGCCCTGTCACACTAAACAACTTAAGAAAAATGTTTTATGTCTAAATTGCTCATAAA